TCGGGCACAACAAGTGGGTGATGGCCAATGGTAACAATGATCAACATCTTCTTGTATTTACTCTTTACACCGAGCTTGCTGACCCCAACCAACCTTCAAACTTAAAAGTCTTTTCAGGCCTGCACTTACTTCTTATCGCAGTTACCAGGTGAATGTTTGGTCTACGGGTCGCTGTCGTTTAAACGAGCGGACGACAACAAGCAGAAACGTTCGTAAGAGCAGACGACAGTTCGAACGATCAGGCATCTGAACGTAGTCCGCAGGTAGTCCGTACAACTTGGCGGTTTACCTGCAATCATGTTTGAACAAAACAAGTCTGATGACCACAAGTATCCGCGAATTCAACCGAAAGTGCTTCCTGCACAAGCAGTCGTGGTCCGACGGCGTCTGATTTTTATTTTTCACTACACCTATTAATGTTCTCGGACGAACTGAGCAGGCAGAAAACAGATGAAAACTAACCTTCAAACCTTTTCCGACTCCTTTGGTACAGCCCCAGTTGCTGCGTTTTGACGAGAAGGCAGGTTTTTGTCCAATTTCTTCGAAAAGAATGCAGGAATGCACGTCCCGCATAGTGAGTTCCAACTGCAGCCCCAGACCGGAAGTGCACCCGACACGCCACCACCGCGCCGTGACGTAACAGATCTGAGTTTGTGTATAGTTTTTTTTTCTCTCCCTTCCGTCATTTCCAGCAATCAAACCCAAAGGGTTCTCATGCCGCCAATCGGGAAGGTCCCGCATACAACAAACACAACAATCAAAAGAGACACACACGTGCGAGCAACCCTGCGGTCTCCACCAACGACAGGCCAACCAAGCAACACCACCCGTGGAGACGCCCCTAGAAGTTAACTCTCTAAGATGCCGTTAAGCGGTTCTCCGGCCAGAGGTTTTCCACATCTGGCGAAGGACACCGAACCAAGCACGAACACAAAACCAACTAAGCCTGTTCGAGTGCTCCCTGTCAGTGATTACAAATGGCCGCACATCCCGAAGTCCAAGGGACGTGCCGCCTCGCTCCCCAGTGGCCGCCGCCGAACACAAAGCGACCTCGACCGCCTCGATTCCTGGACTCGACACGCAGTCCGTCCCTGCAAGCTTGAAAACACAGTGTTCCCATCGCCGCTCCCCTAACAACCCTCCAACGACAGGGCGTGAGGAGAAAAACAACCACACAAAGGACAAGCGGAACGCACCTGCCTATACTCTACGTCCGCTCCTGTGCTAACAGTTCTCACAAAGTCAATGCACTTTTTATGTTGGGGGACAATCTTTTGAAAGACAGAGGAGGCAGCCGATGGTCAACACTGACTTGTGTGTCACATTGACACCATATGTGAGGTCTGTTCAAAAAGTATCCGACTTGATTTTTTTCCGGTGGAGAGGTGGAGGGAACATTAATGCGCATGCGTGATTTTTACCAGGCCCGCAGAAATTGTGAGTCGCGGGCAGTCAGCCTCTGAGTGAAGAAGTGTAGTCAGTGCTCGTCAGTTTTTCTCGTGTCTCAAATCAGGTTACTTTCAGCGGCATATTTATCTTGGGGTAGAGCCAGAAGTCACAAGGAGCCATGTCGGGCGAGTCGGGACCCCGATTTTGACCAAGAAACTCCGAATCAGATATGAGGAATGAGCTGGTGCATTGTCATGACGCAGCTTCATCGCGAGCAACATAGGCATGAATTTCGCCGACACTCTCCACAGAGCCAAATCCTTTTTTAAAATGGAATGCACCGAACCGGTACTTACTCCCACCTCAGCCACAAGTTCTTGAATGGTGCTGCGATGGTCCTGCATTGGCAAAGTTCGCACTTGGTCAATCACCTGATTATTTTGGCTTCTTGAAAACCTTTTGGAACGTACGTCGCTGTCCGCCGACATGTGGCCATCTTTAAACCGGTTGTACCACTCCTTAATTTGTTTAATGCCCATGGCATCGTCGCCAAGAGCCTGCTGAATGTTTCAAATTGTTTCCACTTTAGTGTAACCAAGCTTGAAGCCAAATTTTATGCAATACCTCTGTTTAAGCTGTTTCGTCAATTTGCGGAAAAGAAAAAAAAAAAAAAACTGACGAGCACTGACTACGTTTCCTCACTCAAAGGCTGACTGCCAGCGACTCGCATTTTCCGTTGGCCTGATGAAATTCACGCATCCGCACAATGTTCCCTCGACCTCCCCACCAGAGGACGCTGTTTATGTTCGTTTGTTTTTGCGGAACAAATTCAGGTTGGACACTTTTTGAGCACCCCTTGTAATCATAAGACGCATGCAAGAGCCTTGCTTGTGCCCCTGGTGTATGAAATGTATGCGCAGCTGAAAGGAGAGGTGGCGTCTTTTTTGGATCACTTAGAAATTTCTAGTAGATCTTGTTCAAGAACCTGCCAAGGTATCCATTCTTTCTGATGTCTTGCTTGGTAGTTGCAATTCCTCTTTTTTTGTAGTCTTTGGTGGAGCACGCCCTGATTGTCTGACTGAAGAGAGCATAGGCCACGGAAAACTTGTGTTGTAGGATGGTTTGATGAGAAGTTTAGGTATCGGCTGGTGTATGTTGATTTTCTGTGCATATTGAATGTCAAACGACTGGAACTTTTCATAGCAAAAACATCCGGGAGTGGAAGACAGACATAAGTGCATTAGTGAATTGAATCAGCGGCTTAGTGGAGTTTAGGTGTTAGTGAAGGTGGTCAATCTCACTAGTTTTGACCACGCAGAGGCAATCATCAGCATACTGTGGGAGCAAGACAGCTCCCAGAGAGAATGTGTCCACTGCTTTCCGCTCAACTGCCTCCATCGTGAGGCAATCACAGTGACTCTGGATTGTGTGCCTCTGCAACATACAAGCCAGTGTCGACCAGCGACCACCTCCTCTGTCTTACAAAGGATCGCCCCACAAAAGCGCAGGACTTGTCTACAGGATCCTCGTGGTCACTGCCTTACCTCATACGTTGGGGTAACCAAAAACTTCCTGGAACGCCTACAGATGCATTAATATTATGTTTAGAATGACGACGTACAGGTCAGAGCGCTAGCATAACCCATTGAGCAAGGGGACCACGCTATTGCATTCAACAACAGCACCATAGTCGACACGGAGAGAAACCGGCGAAGGCACCTTTCGTTAGTCTTGGCACATCCTAAACACTCAAGAAGACATCAGCATGTATACTGGGAATTTCCCCAGCAGCTATGTATCTGGTTTGCAACGCATCATGTGGGGAGTGTCAGGAAAACATAGTTCACAATGTTTATTACCTGCGCCAAAAGATGCCATGTGCTTTGACAAAAGAAAACACGGGGTACATTGAAAGGCAACTACAAGAACCGAAACAGTCACCTGCAATCAAGGAGCCGAGCTGGCCTCAAAATGTTATCATGTTACGCCACCATCATAATCAAAGCGGGGATGGGAGCATGGCCGCCCCATAAGCTCTCCACGTTCGCGCGCGAGGTAGATTCTTGCGTTTATTTTGTCGCATGGTATCGGTGTGAAAATAATTTTAACAGAAGATGGTATGGTATACTGATCGGTGCTTCAGTGAAGATTGAACCGTGCTACCAGCATACGGCCTAAATTTAAGACATCGCTTCTGTGGATGTGTCGTCTGCTTTAGGCAGACGTTGGGTAGTATGGATCACCACGACTGATGTCTGTTTCCTGATGAACTGCACTATTTTTTGTTAAATATTTACTTACCTAAAAAGAGCCGAGTCCCACTAGCGCCACAAAGAAAAACACTGCTGGTGAATATAATTAATATAGTTTACTAGCAGTCCTTATTCCCTTTGAGAATCGCCAGCAGGTCACAAAACAACATGTTGGCAATGAGCGGCACTGCAGAAGGTTGTCAAGCATTCAAGAAGTATATTTTGTTTTGTCGGTAGAGAGAAATGGGCGTTTGTCACTCTAGTGGGACGCGGCACTTACATTTTTTTAATGCATTTCAAACTATATTGCACCCTTCTGACCCACGATGGCTCTCACGAAAATCAGGTCAGGCTGTATCAAGACTGTCTTTAATTACTCTTCAAGGCATTTATGAACTGTGGATTAACTAAATTATGAACAATTGCTCTTTTTTTAAATTCTCGAACTTCGAACTACATTTTACAGGAACTGATGATGAACCAGTGTCCGCAGGGGCACAAGATCGGACCACGTTGACACCACCCCTAATTGCTCTTCCAGATGCTTGTAAGTACAAGAGCATTTTTCGAATACAAGACAGCGTGAAAGAAATAAAACATTTATCTTTCTTTTCTCAATTCATACACTTATACACATGCTGCAGCACATGACGACCAAGAGTTGGTGCAGGCACCGGAGCTAGATATATCAGGACCCCACATAGACGCCGATGCATACGAAGAGGAGCCATGTGAGTTAACTATATTTCTTTTCATATCTGTCTTTCTAAGCACCTAGATGAGCCTTGAAAAATCTGGTCACTATATACTATCGCAGACAGTATGATATACAACAGCCCTTCACGCTTTATTGGCATACCAGCTAGTGCTTGAAGACACTTTGGCCCAGACTTGAGAGAGAACCCCATTTAGGTTCCGTTCTTTGAGTGCTTATACAAATCACGAGATAATGGAGCTGCAGGCACAGAAAATGGCCAGATTGAGTGTTGCAGCTCGTACTGTCAGTGAAGTACCACATCACAAAAGTGCCACAGAACAATTTTCACACTTTCGCTAAATATTGCTGGAAATGAATTGTTGATGTTCATAACCTACAAAATATGCATTACTTTTTCTCCATGCACTACCAGCCCTAAAAAGCTGAAAAAAATATAGTCATGCGCTGAGTGTCGCATGCTGAGCTCACCACAGGCTTCGCTATTTATAAGCATATTCTGCTTTGGAATTTTTCTTTGAATACTCTTACTAGTGAAGTATTTATCTGGTTCGTAGAAGTCGTCGAAAGAGATATGGTTACATTTGTAGCTTTATATACCTGGTGTAAAGCAGTGTGTCTGTTTGTTCTCACCCAAAACAGTCATGGACGTGCTCCATCAGTTTGCAGAGATTGTCGGAGCACATGGGGGTACACTAAGAGACGCCATGGTTCAAGTGGATACACTCGTCAAAGAGAAGAGGCCCCTGCTGTCCATGTCTGTCATCCAGTCAGATGAACAAGTACGCATCTTGACTGGTATAACGAGCCTGCAACTGATAAGGAACATAATTGCAGAATTCACGGATATACGACAGCAAGTATCTCCACGAGGTTACAGCCTAGATGACGCAGACGCAGTATTGATGGTCATGGTGAAGCTGTACCACAACATTAATTTCAGCTTTCTCTCCGTACTGTTCTCCATTCACAGGACAACAGTGTCAAACCTTCTGAAGTGCTGTGTATGCATTCTGTCGAGAGTGTTGGGAGAAGCAGTCTTCTTTCCATCAAATGAGTCTGTCCTTGACAACCTGACCGTCTACTTTTCACCATTCAAAAACACGCGAGTCGTATTGGATTGCACTGAGATCACACTAGAGAGGCCAGGTGACTTAGCGTCACGCATTTTGACTTACAGTCATTACAAGAAGAACTACACCGCAAAGGTGCTAGTTGGTTGTGCACCAAGTGGAATGATAACGTTTGTTGGCACCGCTTTTGGCGGGCGTACGTCAGATTCCTTCCTGACAAAGGAGTCTGCCATCCTTGATCAGTGTATGCCATATGTTGATCATGTGATGGTATACAAAGGTTTCCTAATTGAAAGTCTGTGCGATGATGCTCGCGTTAGGGTGGATCGCCCTCCATTTTTACGAAAAAAGTGGCAAATGGAGAGCTCTGATGCACTTAAGAAAGAGCAAATTGCAAGGGCACGTGTGCATGTGGAGCGTGCCATCCAAAGGCTCAAAGCCTTCAAGGTTTTGCAACAAAAGTTTCCGACAGAGCTACTTCCTGTTCTTGACCACACTGTCAAGCTTCTCGCAGGCTTGACAAACCTGTCAAAACCAATTCTTTCCTCTGACAAGTTTTTGTAATCATGTACAAAGAACTCTACTGTAAATAAACCTAATGAAGATGACTAATCCAAGCATTTAGAGTCAACATGTTTACAAAGAAAAATTCCACATAGCCAAATATTTACACCACACAATGGCACCTCAAGCAGAACGCAATGCTGTGAAAATGTATTCTCTGTACAGTTGTGTAATGGACTGAACACATTCATCAAAATAGTCTTTGCTGAATGAAATGGGCAAGAGCTTTCATACTGTGGATGACTCAGAAACGAAAAAGTCGCAGTGGCCTATGCCAAGGATGCCCATCTGTACTTGTACCTGAGTGTAAAATAGGGGCTCCGCAGTTGCCTTTGAGAGGCTGTTCTGGAGCTCCTCGGGACACTTGAGGGGCTGAAGTCCAGTTGCCTTTGAGAGGCTGTTCTCGAGCTCCTCGGGACACTTGAGGGGCCTCATAGTTGCCTTTGGGTGCCTGTTCTGGAGCTTCTTGGGACACTTGAGGCTGTTCTGGAGCTTCCTGGAACACTTGATCTCAAGTACAGCAATCTTTCCCTCGCAACATGAACACTTGAAAGTGACGATCCCGTCGGGAGAGCAAGCCATGACGGGGAGCTTGCTCCAGAAGACGAGGCCACTGGTGCGCAATGTGACAATGTGCCCCCTCTTTTGCTGGACTTCTACATACCTTTTGGCAGCAGTGGGCTCGTCTCTGAGCCCCATTTTCATGTCAGCACTCTGGAAGGTTTTTTGTTTGAGCACTGCCTTAACGAGCCCACATACATTGTGAGGCCTCTCTTCTGTGCTCAAGGATTTTGCTCTTGTTTTAAAGGAGTGACGACAGGTACTGGTTGCCACCCCCCTCCTATATTGGAGCCATGCAGGGCACGATGACTGTTCTCTCGTGAGGCTTCCGATTGTTGCTATAGCATTTTCATGATAGGTGTCTTTGAGCTCATGAAGAATTGTGTCGAAGTCGCTTGCTTCTGTTGTTGATATGAGTTGCATCACGGTGACTGGAACATCGTCCTGGTGCAGCTGGTCAGGAGCTTCCCCCTCTGCTGCATCAGGTTCTGCGCCTGCAAAGGAGTTAGGGAGGCCAGGGTCGATACTTAATCTTAAAGACGGCTTGAAGAATGTCACCTTGCAGGCAGACCTTTCAGCTCATAACAGGTGCTAAACATTATAAAGCAGAACTGAACTTATGCCTCCTCTGTTATTTAGTTTGGAGATTTACACCCCTTTAATGCTTCTCAGGCATCCTGACTGCTTCATGACATTGTAACATGCCCAAGATAATAGTGTGCCTTATTTTCATACATATAGGAATGTGTACTTGTGACTGCATAATCTGCAAAACGGTTAACGTTGGTGCTTGGCCTGGGCGTACCAACCGTTAGGGCAAGGGGGGCGCTTGCCTCCCCCCAGTTTGAGTAGGGGGGGGCAAGGCGTGTCTTTTGCCCCCCCCCCTCCTCCCCAAAACAGTCACCATGGGCAGGGCAAACACTGGCCGGCGGCACCCAAGGGATAACAAGGGCACCGCCCCCGCCCCTGGGGGGGAGTCTGGCTTGCCCCCCCCCCCCCCACTCAGAAACAAGTTGGTACGCCACTGGTGCTTGGCACTTACTTAGATCGGGTTCATGTAATGTTCTGTCCAGAACGAAACATCGAAGGTACAAATAATAAATTTAGTCTAGTCCTGGCTGCATACCTGCTTGTATTTGGCACAGTCTGAGGTAGAACAGCAGAGAATGCGACACTATCATGAGCGCCACAAATAGATTGCCATCACTGCTAGCAGCTCAACGTGTCGTGAGGTTTCACACATTTCCAGCATGGCAAGTACACTGCATAATGCACACCTTGGAGAGAAAGACTGGTTTTGCAATGCATCTCTTCGTACCAATGTAGGGTGTAAGGAAGGAGGCAGGTTGGTCGTTTTTCTGCTTACGAAAGGGGAAAATAGAATACAGTGTATTACATGTGTCTGGGGCATCCCTTGGTCGCATCCTTTTTTTCAGATGCATTTCTGCCATGCAAACATATGGCAAGTCTTTTATGAGACGTTTTAAGACACCAGGCTTGCTTGGAGGTAGTTCCGGTGGCTGAAACTGAAAAATACAGAGCTTGCATCCACATATCACCAGCAACAAGAACAGAGCAAAGGCAGTCAATATATATGCCACTCCACCTAAGTGTCTCCTGTAATGTTTTCCATCCTGTGAAACAATTTCCGTAGTGTAGTAGACCTGAGTCGAGGGGTGTACTGAGGGTTTATTCCAAAACAGCAGGTCAGAGGGACATGACCAGCTGCCAAGATTCCAGCTTGCCAAAGAACGGAATGCACGAGCTCCCGTGTCCAAGCTCGTGCTCTGCTGACCAAGGCGACGATGGTCTTTTGCAGTCGCCACACGTAGTGTAAGGGAAATCGATACACCCAATGTGATTTTCCTTTACTTGTATATAAAGTGGTACAAAAAAGTGAAAGCCGTTTACAACTCCCTGTAACACCGAATTAGAGCGCAGCTCTTGAGGAGGAGAAGGGAAGGGTACTGGGGGGGGGGGTGAAGTGACCTGGGGGGGTCACCTGATGATGCCGATGATGTCATCAAAGACGTCACTGATGACGTCATCAGTAACGATGACGATGCGGACTCCGATGACGTCATCAGCGATGATGACAATGACGATGCGGATGTCGGTGACGTCATCAGTGACGTCACTCATGACGTCATCTGTGATGATGACGATGCGGATGCGGGTGACGTCACTGATGACGTCATCAGTGGTGATGACGATGACGATGTGGATGCCGGTGATGTCATCAGTGACGTCACTGATGACGTCATCAGTGACGATGCGGATGCCGGTGACGTCATCTGGTAGGTCACGTGACCTCGGCGGGGGGTCACGTGACTTCGGGGGGCGGGGTCACGTGACTTTGGGGGTCACCCCAAGGTCACGTGACCCCCAGAGGTCACGCGACCCCTTCTCCAGAGTCACGTGACCTTGGGGGGTCGCGTGACCTTGGTTACGCCGACGCCGCTCAAGCCGGGAACGGGCCCCTAAGAGCTGCGCTCTAAAAGGTGTAGCTTAAGGTTTGCAGTCTTCTTATTTTGCTTAAAAGTTCCTTTTGTGCTGTGAAACATCAGTTAAGTACAGAGTTGACTGGGAGAAGTAATGGTGAAGGCTGTGTGAAAAGTCATATGTGAAATACAGGCATCTGGCAAGACAGGAGCATAAATAGAGAGACACGCAGATCACCGTGGCTTTTTGCAGGAAACAGGTAATCGAAATTAATGGTTCTGCAAAGTGAAATTGCAAAGGGCAAGGAAGTATCCTGGAACAGATTTTGTTCGTCCATTCCCTACTCCCAGCTGTATCATGTTTCTGGATGCTCACGAATAACCCAACTGTCAACATAGATAGAATGGAATGGCACATTTATGCAGTAAGTCTACATACCTTTGAGCAAAAGGGTAACTCCACAATCTTTGTTGGAGCATACCTTGCCTTGACCATTGGGCGCGTTAAGTTAACGCGCTCGAGCGCGCTCCAGCGGTCAGAGTGCACTCGAGCTAAACTAAACGACATCGTCTCACTTCCGGTGCACGGTGGCGGAGCGCGCTCCGCGAGCTCCATCGTCGGAGATGGTGCGCGAGAGCTCGAACAGGTCGGTTTCCGGTGAGATGACGGCGTTTCCGCTCTCGCGGCCAGTCTCGCGGTTACTCGCGGTGGTTTCACACGGTGGTTACGGTGGTGCGGTGGTCTCGCACGAGACGGAAGAATCATCAAAACTCAAGCGTTTTGGGCTGTTTGGGCTCCGGGCCGGGCCGCCGGGCAACTCTGGACCAGAGACGTCGGGTGTGCGCAATCCCTGGCGAGCGAGTTCGCTTCCGGACACTCCGAGGATGCCACCGTGCTCGCCTCGCCAAACCTCGCAGACCGCGACCGCACCAACCGAACCCCGCGGCCGAAAGGCTCCGGCGCAGCCAGGAACGGCACCGAGGTAGGCCGGTCGTGGGTAGGAGCTGCTCGTTCTGCGCTACCACGCTGTCCTCGGAGCTCTCGGCGTCGTTCGTGCTTGCGCCGAAGCCTTTAGGGACTCCCTCGGACGCGCAAGTCGCGCCTGCTTGGATGCGCGGATACTTCGACGGCGATCGCTTGGCAGCTCGTGCAATCTTTCCGTCATCGTGAAAAATAAAAAAATAAAAAAAGCATGGTGCTGGTGTAGGAAGGTTTGCATACATCCTTCAAATGCTTGTCAAAGTTCTTCATGTACCTTACCGCAATTTCAGGATCAGGCGAGCCAATAAATTCGGCTATTCAGCCGTCATTCTTTAAGGCTTTGGAAAATTTAGAAGGCGTTCGGCGTACCTTTAATCGCCACACCAACAGCGTGCAGCATAAATACAAGCTCTTGCTGTTGCTGCCGTCTTTGCGCAGTTATTTAATCGAAGTCGTCTTCGAACAAACACTTCTCAGACGGTGCGACGAGACGGGAGCCATGTTTAAGCGCGGGCCGGAGGCCGGAACCGGAAACGTTAAAAAAAATAGGCGTCAGATGGCGCCTCGGTACCATAGTGCGCCGTTAAGCTACCCTCCGAACCCGCGCGCTCGAGCGCAGATGTCCGGAGTCTGGAGCTCACTAACTTAACGCGCCCATTCCTTTGGCGTGCTGGCCCCAGCTCTGCGGTACATCCGTGGAGGACAATGTCGGCAGCTGGCGAACCCTGTTCACATGGAGTAGTACTCCAATGCAGTGTTTGCATCGATGCGAGTTTCTGGAAGAGAAGAATGTTTCAACTTACAGTTTGCATATACCGTAATAAAATATTTAAGAAGTTATTGCTGTCTACAGTGGGCAGACCGGTTCCATTTGTTTTTAAGCTACACCTGGAAGTGCTGCTTAACCCAATTCGTAAAAGTGGGTGTTTTGTCAGGGAATGTAAACAGAGCATCAAGATACCAGGAGCTTGTAGAAAGAACTAGAAACCCCCCCTGAGGGCCTCAGAATGGCAGCC